AGAGGGACGCGGCCGTCCTTGCTGCTGTCCGGTCACTGCGGCAGTCCATGGTGTTTGAGGAGGGGGTGCGGCGTTCCTCGTTCGATAGTGGGGACCACCTGATGTCGTCTGACACAGAGAGTGTGTCGTCTGGGAGCAATTCAGGGTCTCAGGATGCGGGCATTGGCATTTCGCACAGAGCACGCCCATCCCCAAAGGGTACGAGTGTGCCAGCACGGTTCTTGCAGGATGCTGCAGTCAGCAGGTCACAAAGATTCGCAGATCCTGGCACGCCATACTTGCCGTATACCTCTGGGTTGGCCGCATCTCCAAGGACGGCGCCGGTCAAGAAATTGCTGCAAAATGGCTTTGTTTCATCTCCACTGAATCGGTCAGTCAGGCAATCTTCACCAAGTAAGCTTACAGGCAATCCATCAAGGAGGATGTCAAGCCCATCACGGGGGAGAAACTGTGTGGGGTCGGGCACTTCATCTTGGGATCATCAGGGAAGAAGCTCATCTGGTTATGCTTTGAATGGTGAAGTGAGGAGGAGGTGGCATGGGGGTAGTAAGGTTGACTGTGAACATCTATTAAGAATTTTATCCAATCGACATTTGCAGTGGCGGTGTGTGAATGCGCAGGCTGATGCTGCACTTGCTGCACAAAAGTTGACAGCAGAGGTGAGTGTATCCATTGACAAACCAATTTATGGACTTCTGAATTCTAATACATGAAATGTGTTCCTCCTGTATAATTAACATAAATTGATGTCATCTCAGAATTCAGTAGTATGTGTAAATGGCTATATATTTGGAATTTATAACTTGCTTGATTTATTCAAATTCAGATTAGTTTGTGTAAGATGTAATTGATTAAATTCAAGGCCAGCATTTGCAAGCTAGCTATAAGCAGGAGCTATGTGCTCACACTAATCATCCGATTTCACTTATTTTCACAAAGTAATTCTGTGAAGTTTACACATCTTATAGGTTGCAACTACCTTTGTCTTTTGCGCCATAGTTTATGTTATCCAAACTTTATATTTATCGAAGTTTTTTAGTTCCTTGGGAGTAGGTTCTTCAATAGAGGCAAACTGGGCAATCTATGTATATCAGAATACTAGATAGAAAGCATCTTGTCAGGTCACACACACGCAAAAACTATGTAACACAGTTGGAACGGCAAAAAGAACCAGGAAAGATTTGACAATGACATGCCTTTTATGTTGGAGCTGTAAACAAAACTAATACCAGTAGGATCTGCTCGAGAAGTATCAGTTGGCATGCTAAAATATGTCATGTTCATTACCTTTTAGAATGGAAGTTTGTATACTGCACCTGTTCATTGCCAAATGGAAGTCTGGCTACCCATTTTTATTATCTTATTGGTTAACTGAAAGTACTACTATTTCAATTAAAAAATGCTAGGCAAAAGCCTTAATTTCAACCATAATATTTGTGTAGCTAAGATTGCCTTTTCTACTTCATTACTTCTCAATAACCCTTCTTCTTTGGCCTTTTCACCAGAAGTACTTATCTGATGCATGGATTACTACCCTAGGGATGCGTAAATCTGTTGCTCTTAAGAGGTTCCAGCTACAGTTATACCGAAACAATTGGAAGCTCATGACAGTTCTAAAGGGACAGGTAATAACCAATTTTAGTTTTCGGTGCATGACTGCAAGTAGTATGCTGCCTTTTAGTTTTCGGTGCATGACTGCAAGTAGTTTGCTGCCTTTTTCATATCTTTGCAAGATCATTTTTCTGCAAGTAGTTCATCGGATTATCTGGAATTATCCTCCATGTCTGGCTGACATTTGCTAGCCTGTCAGTTATTGTTAGCAAGATAATATTTTGCCAAAGAAAAAGAAGTCCCTGAAAAACTGAGACCTAGTTAGTTATAAGCCCAGGGCCATTGCCCATCTTGACAGATATATTCAAATATCTGCACAGTTGCAGGCTGGCCGTTTTGATTCTTATTTCCTCTGCTCAATAGATTACACGTGGTCCTTTACTATGAACAACTGTAAAGTTAAAAAGGAAGACCAGCTCACCAGCATGTGGACTCTGTAGTGGGGCCTTAGATATAACTGTAAGCTATTATAGTACTTAATTAGTAACAACTTTAGCTAGTTGTATCTTAACCTGGTAGTAATTCACCTTTTACCTTTGCCTTGTTTCTAAAAATCTAACGAAAACTGCTTGATACAGATGGGGTATCTAGAAGAATGGTCTTCATTAGAGAGGGACTATGTGGATTCTCTATCTGGAACTGTGGAGGCTCTAACTGCCAGCATTTTGTGCCTTCCTGTTACTGATGGAGCAAAGGTTGTTAATAGCACACCATTGTACATACTTGTTTCTATATGTTTCTCTTCTGTTCTCTGTGTATTAAAGATCAGTTTCTTCTTTGCCACTTTGTATTTGCAGGCTGATATCCAAGATGTGAAAAATGCCGTTGGTTCTGCTGTTGACATCATGCAAACAATAGGAAGTTCAATATGTTCATTATTGGCTAAGGTGCTGTGTACATTGAATTGCTTTCCTGTTTCATTTTCTTTGTCAAGTCAGTTGCTTGTTAACCACTTGTTGGTTTCAGGACGGGGACTTATCAGCAACCTGCATAACCAACAATGGATTTTCTCTCACAACAAACTTAATCCCACCAGCCGATTCCCTTATCAGCCTGCTTTAAAACCAACCAATTTCTCAAGCAGGCCGACTAGTTGCTTGTCAACCACTACATCTTAATTTATGGACGTGGGCCGTATAAAAGAACTAGCAACCTGCATAACAAGGCTTAACAATGGATGGTTGGATTGGTTGAGACTTAATCCCAGCCAGCTGATTCCCTCATCAGACTGCTTTAGAAACATTCTCCAATTTCTCAAGCATAGGAGATTTTTCTCTTCTCTAGGGTCTGTAGAGTAACGTCCTCATTATGCATTTGCTAGTTGGGGTTAAAAATTAAAGATATTACAACTGAATGCATTTCAAAGCTCCAATTATCTTAGTAATCAATTTTGCCATCACCATACCAAAAGGGGGAAAAAAAACTATGAGCTCTTGTGAGGCTTGCACAAAAATAATATAGCACAAAGCAATTTTTGAGAAGCTTACATTTGGTGAAATATTTGTTCCAAGTTGCTGCATTTGTTATTTTGTTTGACTGAAATCATCTGTCGGTGTGCAGCTGGCTGGAACAAGTATTTTGGTTTCTGATCTTTCCAAAGTTGCTACCCAAGAGCGCACTCTAATGGAGCAGTCCAGGGAATTGCTGTCCACACTTGCAACAATGCATGTAAGTACTGAGATCCAATCCAGCCGCCTCCGGTTCTGACCCTATGTGTATTTATAGCATTTCTAATGGACACAACCCAATAATTTTGCTGAAACAGGTCAAATACTGTAGCCTACAAGGGCAGAGAGTACAGACAACTCACAGGAACTCTATGCATTCCTAGTCAGACTACTACTATAACCCCCCACTAACCGAAGAATGTAGGTGCGATTGCAAATTCTGGTGGCTTGGTTGGTGCCCACAGAGTAATCTGACTCATCTGAAGGTGCTATCTAGACTAGTCCCAGTAGTCTTGGCGGATATGGCCCTCTAGTTCTGATTGCTGATTTTGATGTATGCTAACCAATGCAGAACAGATGGCATGCAATGTGTATAGATGCATCTCATTTGTTGGTTTTAGCTGAGGATTAGGTCAGATGCTAACTAGCTAGTAGCTAGATTGGGTTAATTTTGTTAATCATCAGATGACTAACGACTACCAGGGAAATGCAACATAACTTCTAGCGGTACATTAGATTGCTTGCCTAAAAAACACGTCGCTATTTCGATCTTCGGAGTGACATGGTTACTTGTTGCCGATACAAGTATCCGACTGGTGCTCACTGCGTGTGGATGTATGTAGGCTGCCCTCGTGCAACGTTCCATCTGCAAATGGTATCCCACGATTGTTGTAGCCTAATATGGCTAAAAACCCAAACGATTTGGTTTGTTCGTCGGTTCGTACATGAATCCAGGTCTGTTGGCGTCAACGTTGAGACAAGATCTGTCCCTCCTGGTCTGGCTGGTGCTTCGAAGCGTCCAAAAAAAATGAATTACGCGGCTCTAAAATCAATACAGCTGGTACAGAAATAGCGCGTGGCCACAAACCATGCCCTCAATTTGCTTCACAATCTGTGCAAATTCACATGGCGCGGTGGTCAGTGGTGACTGAGGAATCACCAGGCTGGGTTTCAGTGAAAGCATAAAGGATCACGACATGCCGGCACCTGATGCACACGAAGGGAGCAGAGCAGGCAGAAAATGCTGAAAGCGAGGGCGTGGCAATGAATCGGGTCGCTTCACTGCACTCACGGGCACGAGGCGGGGTAGCCATCATTGCAGTTGCAGCAGCGCCCGAGCGGGACCGACGGTTGCACAGCTGCCTCTGCCTGCGCCGAGAGGCCTGGTGCCGGTAGCCATCATCCCATGCCGTGCCGTGGGGCGAGATCGATTTACCGGAAAGAAAGCTTCATCGCCTGCAGCGGCCACGACGAGTCCATATGACGCGACTCGGACCGTCGGACGCCTGTGACCTGTGCCCGGCCGAAAACGGCGTCAATTGCAGGAGCAGCAGCCGCGGCCGACACAAAGATGAATCATTGTGGCTGATTAGCTGGTGGCGCCTCTTGATCTTGCTACAGCACCTTTCTGTGATCCTGTCCCGTGTCTCCTCCACGTGATAAATCTGGAGATGTTGAGGGGATTGGTCTCGTCTTACTGACCCTGAGGCTGCAGCATTCAGCAACGACAGGAGTGGCAAAAATCCAAATGCCTTGGCCATCTAGTGCATGGTTCCTATAGGGGAGGAGAACCGAGAACGCACAAGAACTTATTGAAGTGAATGGTAATACATGCCAGCTATAAGGTGATGTGAGCACCTCTTGTGCATGTAACTCTAACTCTCCTTATCAATACATGCATTTTGGTTTTGGACGAGACCTGGTATAGTATGTAGGGATAGCTCAGCACAGCAGGGCTGCAGCGGTAGAAAAGCGCCACGTTTTTCTATATTGAAGACTGCATATTCGATTCTTGGTTCCTGCAAGGTGAAGAGAGTCAGAGAATATTACAGGAAGAATAGTAAGTCTAGACGTCTAGTCACATCTCAGTTCAGATATTCCTGCGCTTGACGCCTTTGCAGATAAATCAAATTACCTGTCAGCTGCGTCTCAGCAAGTACCCAACATCCATCCAGTCTGCTGAAATCAAAAGAACAGTGCCACAGGCTCACAGCCTTGACGCATAATCTGCAGTCTGGAATCAGGCATGAGATGTGATGAATTGAACTGGCATTGTCAATCCAGAAGACCAAAAATGTATTTAACACCTTTCAATATGAAGCTGAACATCCAGATATACTGAAGCAGTCTTGAAAGGAAAAAAAAAATCCAGCACAAGTTTTTGCTCAGATACAAAACATGCTGATGTGGTGACATGTAACTGCATATCTAGGACAAACAAATACGAGAATTAACACCTTTCAATATGAAGCTGAATATCCAGATATACTGAAGCAGTCTTGAAAGAAAAAAAAATCCAGCACAAGTTTTTGCTCAGATACAAAACATGCTGATTTGGTGACATGTAACTGCATATCTAGGACAAACAAATACGAGAATCAAATGAGAACAATCTTTATCAGGGCAAAGTAAACCAATTCAGCCGCAAATACATCAATGTTTGTTTGAATGCCAAAGAGTTTGGAAAATCTGACAAACTCATGACGCAAGACCAGTCAAAATGTTTCAACAACACATGTGGAAGTGGAATGTACAGCATACAAGAGTGTGCACGCATTGAATGAATTACAAAGGTAAATTACCATGGCATCATAAGCTTGATAAGGATAGAGGATAAACAATTGTGGATACTCCATATATTAAAACAACAAAAAATGTGAAAACGACGAATTCACATACATTATACAATAACAAAACAGAATTAGGAGTCAGGGCAATGACTGCATAAGTGCTTTCTTTTCCTTCTTGTAAATGCTATTTACTGGCCACTGCCAATTCTTACAATCTGATGTCTTTTCTCCTCTGTTTTTGTGGTTCCCATTTTATTAGGCTCTATGGTTGAACGGATCTCAGGATTTTCATGTGAAGTAACCGTCAATTTTCTCTTTTTAGTTATTTCATTTGGACCTAGATTGTCATGGTCCTCAACGCCAGCAGAATCATCCCTGCTAATCGTATCATTCTTTTCTCCAGTGAATGAATTAACACTTCTCTGAGTTCTCTCTCCAACACTAGTGATAAGCAAATCTTCAGCAGGTATAGCAATGGGTTTCTGCACAACTGCAGGGTTCGAAGGGCCATTTTCAATTGGGTACTTGCCATTCTCTTGAAACATATGATTTTGCACAGCATTGACTCCACCCTGAACGACACTGTCCTCAGGTTTTGTCTTAATAGCATCTTGCAGTTCATTGCGCCCTGAAACTACAGCAGCAGATTCTTCCTGTTCAGAGCCAGAGGGAGGTTTGACATCAGCTGGCACTGAACTTAATTATTTGTTCATAGACGTATTCAAGGTTTCTCCAGGTCCGATGGCATTGAAGGGTTGACTGATCGTTCCCTCACCTGTACCATTCTCTATTCTTGTGTCTACATCATTCTCAGATGCACCAGTGATTTTCTGCAATTGCTCATTGTGTGATGATACACTCGAGATCTTGTAGAATTCTGGAAGCACTGAAGTTTTGCACACTGTTCCCTGACCTGCAATTTTACCAAGATGTATATGAGTGATCTACACCATGTAACTGTACATTAATACATTACTAATACACTAATAAGTAATAATGACCTCATCCACTTTACCATTAATCAAAGGTGCACCAGCACACTCCTGCAATTCAGCTGTAACCTTCTTGGGTATTTTAATGCTGTCCATAGATACAACAGTCTCCTGCACTTCCACAGCCTCTATGAACGCATAACCATCCTTCACATCTGAATCTAAAATATCCTCTGGTGTAGCATCCTCCGAGGATGTGTTCATAATATCAATCATAGCATCCTCTAAAGGGGTGCTAATAATGTCCTGAAGATTTACTTCTGTCATGGTTAAATCAAGAGGGTCTTCACGAGGATGCAAATCTTCAGTTTGTGGTGTCACCTGTTGTGAGAAGTGCTAAATCAGGAGTACCTCCCGTGGGTTGAATTCTCATCATTTCGTCCAACTTCAGTATAGTGTTTCCCTCGACGTGATCATCACCAACCTGTTCCATCTTCGTAACAGTAGCTTGAGTAGGAGCCACAAAATTTAGAGAGATTGTGGCTGATTTAGCACTTCCAATTCCTGTTCCAGTTGGAACACCACTTTGCATAATCTGCACAACAATTCAAGACATAAGCATGTCCTCTCTCTTGCGGTTTAAGTAACTAGATTTATAAGGTCATGATGTGACAACAACCTGCTTAGCCTCCGCCATTTTAACAGTGATGTACAAATCAATGTCAATAAGTGATTGCTTCATCCTTTTTGCATCAATTTCACTTTGTAATAAGGTTCTAATTCGTCCCTGCACTGTATTTACCAAATCAACCTGCTTGTGGTCCAAAACATTCATCAACAACACATGACATGTATTCATTGAACTCAACACAGACAGATCGAAAAAACCATTTTAACAGTATTACCAGAACTTTATCAGTATGCCCAGATAACTGATAGGATATGATTGGACATTCAACTGGAGTGGAGATCCAACGACGTGTAATTCGCCAATACCATTCTAGGTAACAATTCCTTGCATGAGTAGGATCTGAAGTCCCTGTTTCCTGGTGCTTAACAACAGAGATGAGCCTGTTCTCCCATTCCTTAATGTACTTATTATGGTAAGTAGGCCAATGTTGATCAGCTTTACCCTGCATTGTAACACGTTCAACAACCTCAACTGGGTCTGGTATGTGCTGCAACATTCCAAATTGTAGCAAGACGCGATCAGGCACATGCATTTCCACTATCTGGAAGCATATTAATGGAGTCCTTGATAGCCAAACTGCAGATCCAAATGTGCATATTGCAGGAAGCCCAGCTACCAGGTCTGGTGTGTATGGGTCCCATGTGATCTGGAAAGCATAAGAAATATTACAGTGATATCATTTTCCTCTTGTAATGAGCATCTAAAAGCACAAACGCACTTCCTGAAGTAATGGAACACATCATACCTGGCAATCTAATATAGTATCTAGCCCATGCCTACAAAACTCATGGTCCATGGATCGGGCATTTTCACGGTTCTTGAAGGCAACATTCCACCTAGTTATCAGATGCTTTTCATATCATGGAGTATATATTGAAGTGAAAGAAAGTGGTAATAAAAAGCAATCTGTGGTAAAAAAGAACCAAGAAAAAAACCTATTGAAGTGAAAGAAAGTGGTAATAAAAAGCAATCTGTGGTGAAAAAAAGGACCAAGAAAAAAACCTGCATCCAAGGGGTCGGTCATCGGGTAGAGCCTTATTCTCTAGTCGTTCAGGACAGCCTATCTGGATATGCTCCCACGCCCATATCTGCAATGTTTCTTGCAGAACATCAATTCTAGCATCAATCAAGAGAGCAATTTCTGCACTACACAACTAAGACATACTACCTGAAGAAGAGTGAGAAATGCACAGCAATGTGCTTTGCCCTTCATGCTGGCTTTTCCAAGCTCTCTGTAGAGGTGCGCAAGAACAGCAGCCCCCCAGGCCATCTCTCCTGAGGCATCAAAATCACGGAGTAGGGCCAAATATCGTAAGTGCACTCTAGTTCCACTTGGATCAGGAAATAAACTGCATCCGATTTGGTACAGTATATAGGCTCTTGCAGCATACTCTACATCTGCCTGATTAGCGCTTTCTGGTAATGTTTTGAAAGTGTCATGCAGCCATGCCATGTTGATAGAACCACCTTTGATCTGTGGAGGTTCTTGACCCAGAAGCTGTCTGCACAATTGCTCCCAATTACAGTTTGTCGGGCCAGTGACAGGAGCACCATGTACACGAAGTCCAGTAAGAATTGCCACATCCTTCAAGAGCACTGTAATTTCTCCAAACCTCAAATGAAAAGTCTGTGTTTCACGCCGCCACCTTTCAACCAGTGCATTTAACAAAGCATGGTCTAACTGGACCCTCTTCAAGAAAGATAGGTGGTAAAACCCAGAACGCTTCAATAACACAAGCATTCCCTCATGTCTCACTTCCCACTGATTAAGCCTGGTGCCATGTTCGATAAATCTAACAGGTTTGTAGATCTGCATAACAAATGGATGACAATCAAGAGAAGCTCAATAACTGGATTTTCTTTGAAAGGCCCAATAGATAAACTGAACACATTAATTAATTGGAAATAAACATGTAAATGAAAAATTAAGGACAAGTTCTAAAATGTTACCTTCCCAACAAATATAGCTTCTGATTTGTGAAACTCCTGTTCCACAAGGACAGATTTATCAACAGGACCAGGATCTAGTTTCCGTTCCTATTCTCCAGATACAGTGAGTAGAGAATAGTAAGCTGTGATTATTTATGTATGCTCAAGCAAAGTGGTTATAATGACCAAAACAGGATAACTTGTTAGTTCATATATGCAACTGCAATGCTTTAATTTCTCTACGAGAAATATTGATGCTGACAAGCATACGAGTACATGTTAGTAATTACGAGAGCATGGTCAACTGAACGTACCGCATGCTTAAGCGGCAGGCTCCAGCATAAGCAACTGCAATGACTAGCCTAAAGTACTAAAAAATAAGCGCGAGAGGCAACAGCCTCCTGCTTTTCGTAACACCATGAAACCAATCATAGAAGAAGCTGTAGTTCACATGAACATGCGCATTTGTGGTTTGAGCAGCCTACAACGTTGTAATGCCACTAGCAAGTCCCCCTAAGCGAGGTGCTAGGGTTTAGCAAAAACTGACCTGCCCTTGGGGCTGAGCTGCGTCGCGGAGCTCCTCAGCCGCTGCGTCCATGGCAACGAGCGCGCGCGCGCGCGCGAGTCGGAAGATTTTCCTCGTCCGTTTTGGAACAGGGTGGAAGACGGCGGCGTGTTGCGGGTGGCAGGCAAAACCGGCGTCTAGTTGCTCGCGAGCTCCGACTAGGGACTGGGGACCGTTCGACTTCGACCGGGCCAAAAGCCCACTCCGGCCTCGTGATCGCGGGCTGGACCAACTTGACGCGACGATCCAATCACCCGGCAAATTGGAGAAGTCTGAAAAATAGAAAACCAGTTTTATCGTGTATTGGGGCGCTAAAACGGTGAGCAGACGCAGACGCAGGACCAGCGTCTGCGAAGAATCAGTGTAACCTGTTTTTTTTTAAACTAAACTTTTAGCGAGAACATGTACATGAATATCCTCACAAAAACACTAAATACTGAAACCAATAGAGATTTATCAAGCCAATTAATCATGACACCTCTGGCCTGGTGATCTCTATCTAGAGGTCTCTAAAGGCTGCCCTCACTCTGAAAAGTGTCACTCGGAACTCGAGGTTCTTAGAATCCAACTACACCTGAGGACTTAGGAGCCACTCTTAAAACCGTGCGAAGCCTAGGTCCGCGCACCCCATAGCTGGCCTCGAATGGCACATGTCATGCAGTGTCAAGCGACACAGTGTGCGCAACGCATCTCTTCTAGCGCTGACCCGTTGACACAATCCCACCTAGCCGGTATGGTGAGGGGTGTCAGCGCCATCCTCTTGAACCCAACTAGACGACCAGAATCATTCGAGACACATATTGACACAAGGGATATATAGGAATGAAAATAAGAGAAAACGCACATGAAAACCTCTCTCTCATTCTTGTTTCTATATTTTGGGTTCGAAACGGACATTTTGAAACGGACAAATATCAATAGAGAACCGAAAAAATTAAGTTAAGGTCACATGATCTAATAGGTTTAGCGTTTAGTTTCCCAAAGTTCATTCGATACTTCCATTTTGTGCTTTTTGAGAACTTTACTTCATCAGCTAGAGATTGAACTTTGTCATAATAGATGCTTGAGTTCAAAATTCTTATAAAGGCTACAATAAAAAAGAATTATTTTTTCCTAAAAGTAAAAAAGTTATAGACTAGATTTTTGTCGCTACTTTGTTGACACATGAGCGGCTAGGGATGGCGGTTGGACCCATGGGTGTGAATGCTTGTGAGCATCACGCCCGCTAGCAATATATGTGGATGCCAATCGGGGGCAAGGGCCTGAGATGAGTGAGCCTCGCACCTACGGATGCCTATCGTGGCCTAGAACAAAAAGGACCGACCTACCTAATCAAATAGGATAAACTTGCTAATGGGCACAACTTAATGTTGAGGACACTTTTTATTTATGCAATTAGCTCTTAGGGCACCCGCAACAATGATATCTCAGATGACTCTTAGAGATCCAACTCAACATTTTGTCTATGTGGAAGAAAGAGAAAGCAGAGAAACCTAAGAGATGTCTCTTATTCCCACGCCTAGCTCAGACGAATTTCGAGGCCAATCGTGGGGCCCTCCACACCCACGCCCATTCCTCTCCCTCTCCATCTTGCTTCTTGCGTCTTAGATTCTTTTGGTCATGTGGCCCCGTTTGGTAGAGCTCTCACCAGCTTCAGCTTCTCTGACGCATTCATTGTTCATGCACTATTCACATTAGCTCTTTTCTCTCTCACCTCTCCTCTCACAGAGCCAGTGGGAGCAGGTGAAGCCAAACAAAACTAGCTTCACCTGCTCCCACTGGCTCTGTGAGAGGAGGAGAGAGGAAATAGAAAAAGAGCTCTTGTGAATAGTGCATCAACAGTGAATGCGTCAGAGAAGCTAGATCCATTGGGAGCTCTACAAATGGGGTGCCCTCACCTTCACGGCAAGGATGGGACGAGCGCTACCTGCTACGGTGGCCCGGTGGAGAGGAATGACTGTCGATGGTGGACTAGGGTGGAGGAGGGGCGCAAGAAGCAGCGGTGGACTGGAGCGGCGGGGACACGGAGGGCAGCGGTTGACTAGCGCACATGGCACACGGTGGCGCGAAGGGCCGTAGATGGCGACAATGGCCCAATGCGGAGGCCGACGTGTACGAAGACAGTGGCCATCGGCATGGAGACGGATCGGTGCGGACGGTCACGACAGCCATAGGTGCTGCAACGTTGGTGGATTGTAATGTGTAGCTCATCACAAGGATGAAGACGGAGTGGAGAGAAAGAAAGTTGTGGGGCCCAAGTAGCGTGCTGTATGAGATAGGTTACTAGAGAAGGTGTCTCATGTGTTGGCTCTAAAATGACGTGGCAACTTATGAGCTAGTTAGCTAACTCACTTGTTAGGGGTGCTCTTAGGCCACCCGCGATGGTTAGAGCTAGTTACTGGCTCTAAGCCAACTTATCCAATAATGCTAACTTTTAGCACATACTTTTAATATGGATAGCCCCACATGACATTCTCACATCACCTTGAAATGTGTGCAAGAGCTTAGCTCTTGATTAAGAGCTAGCTTCTCTCTCTTCTATTAAAATATGAGAAAAATACTTAGAGCTAACTTAAAAGCCAATGGTTGGAGCTGCCCTTAGACACTTTAGCTATTGTCTTAAAATAATAGTTTCCAAGGTTGGAGAGAGAGAAGTTAGCAAATACAAATATTGAATTATGTCCTAAAGCAAATTTACTTAGTCAAGTCATGTGCAATTACTAACAACATGCTTGATATCTATATAGGTCCTAAAGTGTCAATCTAATTTCCAAAAACTACTACTACCTATTGTATGTGTAGAAGACTAAATGTGTAATACAAAGATATAAAATAACCACTCTTTTAAAGTTTATATACTTTTTAATACAATGACGATGATACATGGCTTATATATGGGTATATGTGTGAGTGTGTTGGAGTGGATTATGGTGAAATTAGTTCTACTATGATTTACTTTAAGAGCATCACCAGTATGAGTCGGTTTATCAGGTTAAAAAGGTGACACACTTAGGTAGTGTTTGGCACCGGCTCCTGCAGCTCTGGCTCCCTACGCGCGGCACTGTGCAGCCCTGTTCTTACCTGTAGCAAGGAGCCGGATAGGAGGAGCCCCAAGAAAAAGCAACGTGAAAACAAGAGGAGCAGGAGGAGCCAGGGATTCGAGGCTCCACAGTACTACTACAGTACCTGGAGCCGGAGCCGCGGAGCCCCTCCAAACCGGCCCTTACATTGTTTGGTTCAACTTATGCTTCTGTCGACACACATATATCTCCCACAACTAAAAAACTAAAGAGGATACACCATTTTGGTGCGACAAAAACTTTGCCTCACCTTCGCTTCACCTCATGCGAAAAAAGTTTTCCACCTCAGACGCTCTGCCCACCCATGCTACAAGGAAACTCGCGGCCTCCACACTCTGCCCTCCCGTGCGAAAAGGAAACTCGCGACCTCGATGGAGACCTCAACGCCCTACCCCCGCCGCCTAACGCGACGCCCTCAAGCTCCGTCCCGCCGACACCGATGCCATCAAAACCGATCAAGACGCCAGGGCGCTGTTCGACGACGACGGTCAGTTGGACACGCTGCGTGCTGCGTTCACCGAGTACGCGGAGGAGCTGCGCCGCGCGCTGCATGAGCCATATAGGCGCCCAAATTACCCACGCCACACGTAGCGTGTACATCTCTCTTTGCCCTCGCCCTCACCACGGGAAATTGGGTCGGGGCGCCTATCTACACCGCTGCACGTCGCCGACGCCGCCGTGCCCCGTTCCGCTCTGTCGCACCGCCGCCACAAGGCCGAGCCACCGCCACAAGGCCATCATCCCTACCTATGCCGCCGCCTCACCCATGCCCGATCCGCACCTATCATTCCCTTCCCCTGGACGGAGCACTGAGGAGGAGAAGATGCTGCCGCATGCACGCAAGGTGCTTAGGTCTACATCGGGCCCTTCGTCGGCGACGAGCACCCAACATATATGCCCACCAGGGCACCCTTCTATTCCCTTAGTGCTGTGCGAAACCGAGCACACGAACGCTGGAGTCATTTGTATTCAGATCTGATTTTCTGCAATCTTTGATTTCTAGCGATTCCATCAATAAAGGGATGCCCATGTCGGATATAATTTTCCTTGCAAAATGTGTGCACAAGAAATTAGATTCCCTCATCCAATTAGTATCATAGTTACTGTAGTTTGAGACTTTAGAGTGGGAAGAAGAAGGGGCAGTTTCCTTTCAGAGCAGTTTCAGATTTCAGATGTGGTAAATGAGTCATTTCACATTTTGCAGTCATTAATTATCTCGGTGAATTTTAGTTTACATATATATAATCTAGATAGAATTTTGTATGGTTTGTTCAGAATTTTGTTTGGTGTAGCCTTGCAAAAACTTAGAATCCAAAATTGGTCCAAATTGTTTGTAATTTGCCAAATTTGAATTAGCCGTTCTGTCAACTGAACAGGGGATCTACTAACTGTTGTAGTGTCGAGATTGATCAGGCAGCACAAAGTGGGAGCAAGTTTTTCAGTAGGACATTTGAAGAAGTGGCCACTATTTTAGGTATGTGATCAATTGATTGTCCGACGACATGCTTGTCTCAATGGTTGTCCTAAGCAAGGTGTTAGCTGGTTTAGGAACACTTTTTGAATCAAAAAGTCAGCTTCGAAACCCTGACGGTCTTTTGGATAGATTACGCTATACACGTCCTTGTGAACTTTAGTCTTTTGAATACGAAAAGTCAGCTTCATAACCGTCAATTCAGTCTTTGCAATTCTTTCTTTATATCTACGCTTCATCTGAAAATATCACACTATTTTCTATTCAGTTAATGCTGCGTTAAAATTTAAAAGTAGCATAGACATTACAAAGTGATCCATTTTGGGGTATATCACTGAAGACCTCCTCTGAAAGTTACAATACCTGGATCCGCACAAGCATCTTAGTCATCTGAGTAAATATCAAGGTCCTATGACCTTGTAGTTGATTTCAGATATCTATGTTTTGCATGCAAGCATGGTAGTTTTACCTGGTGCCTGATA